GTTCTTTTTTATATATTATAATGAAGCGCGAGCACAAGTCTTCCTGCCTGTCAGCTCTGCTCATGGATGTATAATAAGGCTCTGCTGCTCCGGGATGAGGGTCTAGCTTCAGCAGCTACATTACCTACGGTGCGTTCGTTAATATTAACTGTGCGGTCCAAAGTCACTGTGGCACAGACTGGACCGCTGGTTAGAACGGGGTGTTCGGAGCAGCAGAGCGTGATGTGCACTGAAAAGTGTTTCTGTCGCAATATTATTTAATGAATCGTTGAGCTAGCTAACTAGCATACATTGTCACTATCTGCTAACGTTAGCTTTAGCCTTCGTTTTCAAATAGTTTCTTTCATAGCCTATAAACGGAGGTGGTATAAGTATCTTGTACTTGAGTAAAAGTAGAAGCACTCAGATCTTGTACTTGAGTACAAGTAGAAGTACTCAGATCTTGTTCTTGAGTAAAAGTTGAAGTACTCAGGTCTTGTACTTGAGTACAAGTAGAAGTACTCAGGTCTTGTACTTGAGTAAAAGTAGAAGTACCAGAGTGTAGGAATACTCTGTTACAGTAAAAGTCCTGCATTCAAAATGTTCCTCAAGTAAAAGTAGAAAAGTATTATCATCAAAATATAGTTAAAGTAGCAACAGCAAAAGTAGTCATTGTGCAGATTGGTCCATTTCAGAATAATATATATGATATGTTTTATAATGATTGATCATGAAAGTGTTCTCAAAGCTGGTAAATGTGCAGCTAGTTTGAATGACTTTGTATACTGCAGGGTAGCTTGTGAATTTACTCCAGGTGGAACTAAAGTCTGATTTAACACTTGATTATATTTCACATCATTCATCCACATCTGTGAAGTAACTAAAGGTATTAAATACATGTAGTGGAGTAAAAGTACACCATTTACCTCTGAACTGTAGAGGAGAAGAAGAACAAAGTAGCAAAACATTGAAATACTTAAATAAAGTACAAGTATCTCAAAATTGTACCCAAGTATAGTACTTGTTGAGTTTATGAACTTGGTTACTTTACACCACTGGCTATAAAGATAGAAAGACAGCCTTGCACAGAGGCATGAAAATACATTTTCAAAATGCTCAACAGTCCTGCCAAAATTATAAACTGACTGCTACACAATTAAAATAAATGCTTAAATATATTTCTATTAGATGTGACTCTTTGGCGTTTCTGTTATTATTAACTGCTGCTTTAGTTGTTCTGACTGCTAAAATCCTCTGTTATTCCTCATTTTAAAGCCGATATGTCGGGGGGCTCGGATCCTTGTCACCTTTTTCATACCTGATGAGTTTGCATCCCTGATTATGTCTTAACCCTTAGATGCACGAGTGACTGGACCCTACACTATCCCATAAGTGGGTCAAAAAGGACCCGTATTAGAATGTGTTTTTATGTCATTTTGGTTAAGAAAAATCACTTAAATATTTTATATTTAATTCTTCACTATTTATAATTTTAGACATTATTTTTACATTTTGAAAAAAAAACGAAAGCGGGTCATTTTTGACCCACTTATGGAAGTAATACAAAAACTACAATTTCTTAAAATGTGAATGGCATCATATCCAAAACATGTTTTTTGAGGAATAGCTGGAATATGAAATGCTCTAAGAAAACCACCTCACCAGTTCAAAAAAGACCCACTTATGCATCTAAGGGTTAAGCTTGTGTTCACTATAACTGGTCGATTCTTTGAAAGAAAAAGTGAATAAGCACATTTCCCAAACTATTTATTTTTGAAGCTTCATGTTATCAAAGATTTTGTGGTTGCTACCTGAACTAAATCTCTTCTCTTTCTTCAGGGAACTCTCCCGATTCATAGCTGCCGGCCGTCTCCACTGTAAAATTGATAAAGTGAATGAGATTGTGGAAACCAATAGGTAATGTAACTATTCTCCAAACGTCAGTACTGGAAGAAATGACCAGATGCAGAACTGTAACACTCTCTTCCTGTTTTCTTTCTAGACCCGATAGCAAAAACTGGCAGTACCAAGAAACCATCAAGAAGGGCGACCTGCTGCTGAACAGAGTCCAGAAGTTGTCGAGAGTCATCAACATGTAACCAACGCGGCCATCTTTGTCTGCAAGGGGAACTTGCATTATTCATCTTGGTATACCCGAACCAGTAGTCTGACAAAGTGACTCTTATATTGTGTATATAATAAAATTTGTTTAACTGTTGACACCGCGTTTCCTTGACCGTTTTTATTATAGAAAAGAGGCAGACACATCGTTTCATATAAATAGCAGTATAAATTATTTTATTTACAGAAACTTGTTACAAAACAAATATACTATACAATCTTTTTTTCTTTAAATATTAATTCTAACCTATGTTTTGTTCATGAATTACATAGCAGCCAATACATAAGTCCAGCTGAAAATGATTTTGATAATGTATACAAAAAAAATCTATACACGCTTTTACAAAGTTTGAATGGCGGATTATTTCTTCCTCCCAAACACGAGCTGTATTCTCACTTTCACATTCCAAGTCTATGGTGCTAATAAAAAAAAACATCCTCACGATGTTCCCATCTGCTGGAAACACTGAGATGTCAGTGGAGTTTGAGGATAAAAAAACACTTGATTGAAGGTTTTTTTTATGTAGAAATCCCAGTAAAACTAGAGGGGGCTTAAGCCACACGGGGGCTAACAAAATCTTGACGTCTTGTCTGGAAAACTTGGATAACCCCCCCCCCCCAAAAACACACTAAAAAGTGTTTCATACTGGGCAGCTGACAAGCTCAGGTTTTACCATTATTTAGGCCTCAGAGGCAGATTTAAAAGCAAAGTCCTTAACACTTCGAACATTCAAGTAAGGTAAAACAACGCAAAGAATACTGTCCTCAAACAGTCAGGGTGAAACAAATTCAGGCACTTTCTTAATTTGATATTTCTTTTAAAAGCTGTGATTCAAATTACTTGTTTGGCAACGATGATGCAAGCAGTCGGACTTTGAAGTGTTCCTTTTCCTTGCGATGATTGCTAAAGTCCCTTCAGCCTTTATAAAAGAACGTATGTGTTTAAGGTCTACAAAGTGTGTGTGACTGAAGAGTCCATGGAAACCGGTGAGACAACGGGCACAGCTTAAAGTCTGCGGGACGTTTCAAAATCACAGGCTAATTGGGTCATAAAGTAACTTTTTTGTTGTGTTGATTCATAGGCAACGTAAAATGTCTTGTAAAAGCACGTGTGATAGAGACCTTGAACTTGAATACAGGTATCCTCCGTCGTACAGACACATGCTACAGTGGCAACACTTCACCTTTGTTCCTTTAAACATCTCAGTACACGATTCATGAGATGCTTCGGCTTCTACATATAGGCGTATTGCATTATATAGACTTGGCAGTGAACCACTTCAAATAATCAAGTTCTTTGACTTTTTCCATCTTTTCTTTTTTTTTTACTAAATAAATAATTCCTTTTGTATTTCATGTTTTGAAAATTGTACCAAAAATTCAGCATGTACGAAAAATGCCTGTGCAAAAATACATATTTCACTATGTACAATTTAACAAAATATGTATTCTCAAATAGGGATACTTCAATACTTGTTTGATACATAGGCTACAAGAAAAAAAAAAAAAGGCTAAAATAAGAATATTAAAAAATGTCTCCTCTACTTTTCGACACTGACATCAGTGGAGGTTTCATAAATCAAAAGGTGTTGCCAAAAGTTAAAATATGTCCCGTGAAGCCATCTCCATGAATCTCGCACTTAACACCCCTCGAGACTACTCGAAATAAACAAACATCCCGACGAGATGGGCAAGTATTGCCTGATTTAAGACTCCATTTTGACAAAGGAATAGAGTATAATGCCTGGTTATCCGTTCTACTACCACTAGTCTTTCCTCGACACACACCAACATAGTGTTACGCTGAGGCATTAGAACTGTAACATCCAGAGCTTGGGTAGTGGTTACACACAGGAGGGACAGTCCAACTCACAGAAGACAGGTGACGTGCATAAAGTTTGCTCCAGTTAAGACGTACCATACCTGATTCCCTATGTAGGAAAAATAAACATTACAATTCACATCTGCCCACAACAGCTGTGGATTCCACTGGGCTGAATGGGTATAAAGTAGGTAAGTTGTGGCAATAACAATACGGCTTGCACAAGTTGTATCATATCCACGCAGGCAATGCACCATCACCGCTTCATGAGCAAGAATTGCCCACCTTTTTGTAAAAAAAAAAGAAAGAAGTAGTTGGCAAAGCTGATAGCAGATTTTGGCCAGCTTTGTGTACGACTAAGCAATGCCTGTGGAGAGAAAGTTATTTCTTAGTGCTTTTCACAGTTGGGGGTAGGTGTACTGTGTGGCGATCATTTTGCACAATGAAAAGATTCGGAAAATTATGTCCAAGTTATCTCTCACAAAAGATTCGATCGAATGGGCACATCAGGCGTCCTTTTCACATTTGAAACTGCCTTCACCACGTCTACAAAGACTCTTTGTAGTTCAGTGTAAAAAGCTCATAAGAAATCATAAAAAGGTAACACTTTGCATAATTATTCTGGGTAATAAAAGGATTGACCAGATCGTCCCTATAGGCTCCTCTCGGGCCAACCCAAAGTCACTGGAACGTAGAGTCGGACTAAGGAGAAGTGGAACAACACAGGGTGATTGTGTGTTGCAAGAAACGGTTTGCTGCTCCTCCTGCTGCTCCTCCTTCCAAGGCTTCTGAGATCAGGCGCTGGGGGTGAAATTAAGTTGGAAATTCCAGTAGTCCAGCAGAATCTGACATGAGAAAAATACTTGTACGCACATTCGCACACCCATTCTTTAACTGACGCGGAGGAGATGGGCTTGTTGTCTCCCCAGGTGCTCAGCCTCATGGCGGCTTGTCGCTGCAGCCCTTCACTTCAACCCAATGAAGCTCAAGAGACTCATGGCTGTTGCTATTGTTCCTCTAGACAGGAAGACCTCTCAGAATACTGGGACACTTGTGAGGGGGGGGGGGGGGGGGGGGGGGCAGGGGTCCCTGGCTCGCTCATTAGACCCCTGGTACTCTACGCTGTACTATCGCACCCATATCCCTCCCAACATACACACACTCACGCACACACACACACACACACTCACGCACACACACACACACACTCACACATGGCTTTGGGAGAAATATTAAGGACCACATTGACTTCACTAGGCAGTCCAGATAATCTCCACCCTGAGGATTGTGGGAAGCTGAGAGTAATGTGGGTTTTGATTAAAAGGCCTCGTGCCGTCCGGAGCGGTTTGCGGAAAGCTCCGGACTGTTCCCCGTCCGCCTGCCGGTTCCACACAACGAAGCCGGAGACCGCTGTCAGGGACGAGCCTTTGGCTGGGGAGGAGGGAGAAAACAAGTGTCAAAATGGGTGTCAAATATCCGCCTTAAAAAAAGTTCTCTGCTAAGAAATTAACTTTAACACTCAAAATAAATCATTACTGGTCTGCAGTGGTGCAATCCAACATTTGTATGTCAATGGCAGACATAGTTATTCTAGAGATACCATAACTTCATTAAACAAAAAGGTGTAAAAAATAAATGTACATGGTGTTTGTTTGCTAGCAAGCTAAGGAAAACCAACTGCTTTAGTGACTTTAAACGACAATAGTAAGATGTTGCTTTCAAAATGTCTGCTATGAAAACCTATGAAGTGTTCATTATGACACATTTGTGTGCGATCTATATTATTAAATAATCCTTTGATATTTTCTTATTCATTACTTTATAAATAAAATAAATATTCTATGAAATGAGAAAAATGTCCCTAACAGGTTACAAAAGTATACAATTATTAATAAAATTATATTAAAAGGGAAGAAGAAAAGTTATTTTGGCTTTTGTAATATCAGGTAGGTTTAGGAGCAGTTTAAATATGTGAAATGTGTCATTTATGGCGCATTTCCACCGCAGGCCTCGCTCGACTTAGTACGGTTTTGTTAGGCCTTGTTAGGCCCGGCTCACTTTAATGCTGCGCTTCCATTACAGTTTAGGAACTGGGGTAGTATCTATAGTAACGCAGTGTAGACGGAGCCGTGACGTCATCTTCAATGAGCACCCCAGAAAAACAACATCAGCCGTTAGCTGTTAGCACTCAGAGCTCACAGCTCCTCATATCTGTTCAGAAACTAGACAAAAGTTAAACAAGTACAAACCACAGACTGCCTGTGTCATGGCGAATACAGTCGCTGCTTTATTTATGTCTGTAGGCCGTTGTTGTGAGTGTGGACGGTCGGAGCATATACTGCGTTAGCTTAGCCAATCTCCATTTAGAAAACACGCATTTTAAAAGGTTTTTCGCCTGCTGTCTGTCTGCAGACTTGACAAAGCATTAATTCATGGTTTTTACTAACCGGTATCAGTATGTTGTTACTTCGGCATCATTTTGAAACGTGTATTACAATTAAATCACGGTCAAATATGTTCATCTTGTTGTAGTTGTAGCCCCCTTGCCAGCGATTCTCTCTCTAGTTTAGCAAACTCAGCCCGACTCAGCCCTGTTTGTTGGCCCGGATAGAACCACGATTTTGTCGGGCCAGAAAAAAGGTGAAAAAGTACCCCCGGGCCTGAACTAGGCATAGTGGAAACGCAACCAAAAACGGGCCTGGCACGACACAGCACGCTTAAACCGCGCTCCGTGCCATGGTGGAAATGCGCCATTAGTGCCCTTGGTATTACAATGCATCCTGATTGTTGTAGTATGAAAAACCCACCTGAAAATGGTTGTTGGGTAGCCCTGGTGTCCCTGGAATGCTTCGCCCATGCTTCCCATGGATGTTGTTGATGGCAGGTGACTTGGCCACTTTGGTTCTCGCTGGTCCAGGTCCCCCTCCTGCCACCCCACCTCCACCTCCTCCTGCACTATTAATGCCGCTGGAGGCAGGAGAGCTTTTGCGCTTCTTGCCCTCGAGGCGCCCGTCAGAGTGGTGGCTGAAGTTGGTGTGGTGGTCAGAGGAGGATAGAGACGGGTGGTGGACAAAGGGCCCAAGGGACAGGGTGGAGTCGCTGCTGTTCATCACCACGCTCATGCGCTTGATGGACTCTGCAGGGCTGCCCGAGGGGGGGCCTCTCGCCGGCGGCCCCGAGGAGCCGCCCGCTGACCCTCCTGTGGACTCGGCCTTGAGGCTGAGTGAGTTGGTCCGCACCGTTGGGCCACAGTTGAGCCCCACGCTGTGGACACCGGTGTGGGAGGAAGATAACAACGATGAGGATGAAGGGCCTAATGAGCCGTGGTGGTAGGTGCTCCCTGAGCTGCCGACATTTGCACAGTTCTTCTTGAAAGACGAGGAAAAGTTGGCATTGGAGGAGGAGTCCGAAGGGACGTGGGACGAAGAGAGAATCGCGCTGTTCTTCCTCTTCTTCCCCGAGCTGAAGCTAGTGTTGCTACTGTTACTGTTGGCTCCACTGAGGGAGTTGGGGGAGATGGGGGTGGAGGGGCCAGAGGAGATGTCTTTGGGCCTGAACGATGACGACGACTTGGTAGTGCTGCTGCTGGAGGAGGAAGAGCGGGACTTAAGCGCCCGGCCTGAGGCGAGGGAAGGAGCTGACGAAGAGGAGGACGAGTGGGCTGAAGGCATCTGAGGCGACGAAGACACTTGTCGGGCCTGCGTAATGCCGTAGGCCGGGTGCTCAGCCCCGCCCTGTGGGGAGCTGCGGGCATTTAAGGTGGTCCCATAGGAGAGCACGGACTTGCCCTCGTACGATTGGCTATAAGGAGTCTGGGGCAGGGTGGCAGGGGGGCCCAGGAAGCCTGAAGAGGGGGTGCTACTGTGGGAATTTGTGCTTGTCCTATGTGAAGGTACAACAGAGGAGGAGGAGTTCTCCAAGGCCAAGGGGATTTTCCTGCAACAAGGAATTACATCAACTTTTAGCTATAACTGTAAAAGTCTATTTTGAGACCAGGAATGGCCAAGGAGAACAGTGATCATGTGTGTGGGCTCTAATCAAATCTGAGCTGGACACACTTACTTCCACATCTGAGAGTTGACGTGCTTGTCCATCATTGAGGTGAGCGCACATCGCACTCTGTCCAATCTCCTGTCAAAGGAGTAGCAGCCTCTCCCAAACAGTCGACTTCCAAATGTACAGAACTGTGAACAGAGGAAGAAACCGTATGAGGATATATCAGATTTTAACTACAGGTTATCAAGTCCAAAGGAAATGAAGCTAACAATATAATTACAAAACTAACAGTGCATTTTAAGAGGGGCTAGATTGTTTACTCAATATTATCACGCATGATTTCTCAACAGGATATCAATAGATGTATTTTTGAAACATCAGTTATTCCAATGACCTCCATCATTTTGCTTAACATTACAGTTGTGTATACATGCTTGTTTTTAAGATGTCAACAACATTTTCGTCCACATGATGGCAGAATAAACAGTGGGTTTTTTCCCTACCATTATACGACTTGCAAAAATGTGTAAAGAGCCCTGGAGATCATTCTATTAATAGCTTTGGTATTGTGTTCTTAATAATTGATACATTTGTTTACTTAGGATATTTGAATAGAGTATGCATACAAGTTCCAAAGTCTTAATATCCATATGAATTAACAGATCATATATTACTAAAGGTTTTACTTGTATTACTATGGTACAATTTTAGATTATATTTGTGGCATAAAATAGTCTAAAAATGAAAATTATTATTATTTCTGGGACAAAACATTGTGGTGTGCACTTACAGCTGCCGGTCGAGGGTGATAACCTGAATAGTGACAGTCCAGTTTGTCAGCGCTATCCTCCCGCTCCTCGTTCTCTCCCTCGTCACTGGAGGGTCGGGAAAGCCCATCGGGGGTGGTCTGGGCGTGGTGGGGTGACTCTTGGACAACTGCAGGGTCGCCAGGGGTTATACCTCCGTGACTGCTGTTTAGTCTAGACCAAGAACCGGGAATGATCAAATTCCATAATAGTCAGGAAATTGATTTCAGAGAAGTATAGAAAATGTGTCAAATGCTAAGTTGTAATTGTTTGTTTCACCCTCCCACCCTTTGTTTCTGACGATCACTACATCAATACATACAAATAGATCAAAAACAGATCTGGACATACCGTGGAAGACCAGGGCTGTGAAATTTGGGCTTGCCGATTGGCAAAGGCTTTGTGGCGTCTGTGGCGGGGCCGTTGACGTGAGCGACCTGGTGGGCGTCATGGGCAGCGGCGAGGTGGGAGGAGGGGTGAGGGTCCCTGAGAGAGGGGTTCTGCTGGGAATGGGTTTGTTGGAGCTCTCTCTCCTTCTCCTTCTCCTTCTCCTTTTCCTTCTCCCGATCCCTCGTTCTGCTCTTGTGCTCCGCCAGCAGCGTGTCAAAGCGCTTCCTCCGCCCTGGCACCGCTCTCCGCTGGCTTAAGGAATGTGTCTGGTGGGGCAGTACAAAGGTCAGAATTATTGTTTGAGAAGATAGACTCCTTGGTTTTTATGCCTATAAGATATAGCATGCATGAATTTGTGAACCACAACCATCGTTAAAAAACAATTCTACATGTTTGTAAATGTCAAAGAATTTCATTTCAAGAGCAACACTTGCTTTCTGCATCAAAAACGTAATAAAGCTTATCGCTCCAAGCCATAGAGCTCAGTCATTGTCTAAAAACTATTTAGAATACATGGCTTACATGTTCCTTTATTACAGTATATAGAACAAATACTGAAACAGAAACTGGAGCATGAGATCTGTAGAAAATCGTCCATAGCAAATACTTTTCTTCCTGTTTGAATAACAGCCCACATGTTTTTATTTAGCTTTTTTTTAGCCTTGTTCACAGAATCACTCCAATTCTAACGGCCTTGAAGGCAGTTCACCAGCATTAAGGCTGACGCTCTGAACCACTGCTTAGTCACATCAGTGATTTGAGCCATACTGAGTCTGAGGTTATCACCATTTGCTGAGAGTTCTGAACTATGAGCAACACTGAGCAGCAGCAGCAGCAGATGACTCAGCAGATGTTGCAATATAATGAATGAAAAGTAGCGTCTAGGAAATCTCATCAAAGATTTGCAGGCTAGGCTAACTGTTTTAAATTGTCCAAGCAAAAGCTAGTAAACTTAGCTTGCTGGCCTCCGCAATCTAAGAGCAACACAATTGTAACATTAGGACGGGTTATCCGTGTTGGGGAATTGTGTCAAAGGCCAGATGAGTATTACGCTACTTAACCAGCACTATGTAGGCTTGAACAAATGTGTAAGAGTGTTTGCAAGCTATATCGAGCCATATCTTGTTTTTTTTATCATTACAGAACCAAATAAGTTGTCTGTGTTGGAAATCCCATACTAAGTGCTTCCTACATGCTCAATCAAGTATGTAATGCATTCTGCCTACTAAATGAACAATTACATACATTAGAGTGGAGGATCAGAAATAAATGGTTCAACTTAAAAAATGATTTGACACTTTTTGACAATAGAACAATTGAGGAACATTTCCAGTTTATGCTTAAAAACCTACGCAGCCATACAGGCCGGTTGCTCGGCACAAAGCAGAGAGACTGCTTACCTTGCATGTTAGCGATCTTGTGCATGTTTTCCGAGCGGTCAAATCCACAACGCCACAGTGGACATCTGCATTGTACTCGCGCTCTGAAGGCACAGAGAGAGAGACAAGAAAATTGTTACTTCCATATATTGTGACAGATCACCTGCTCTAGTACCTTGATTAACTGTACTTTATGTTATGTAAAATATTCTATTTAGGTGTCCTTTTGTTATCAAAGAAATGGATTACTGACGTCGGGATAAGAAGATTAAGTACTGTGAATGGTCTTCCATTGACCTACCATTACCCTATTATAAAATAGACTAAGCAGGTCTAGAGAAACAATCTATTTTAGGAAAACAAATATTTAGTTTTGGTTTTATTATGAGACAGTACAAAAATACTGTACCTAATAATCTAAACTGAACTCATGACAGAAGTGTTAACAGTCCTTTTTCCTCAAATCATCTCCAACTGACCTGTAACTTTCTTGTTAACGTGGCGTCTGCTACTGGCACTGCTGCTGCCGTCCTGCTTCTTGTCTGAGAGGACTGAGAGGTGGCCCTTGCCGTTGGGAATCTGACCCGGGGCCAGTAATGGAGGCTTTGGTATGGAGGGACAATTAAGGCCTGGTTTAAGGGCTGATGATGAGGATGAGGAGGAGGTGGTGATGGTGGTATTGTTGGAGCTCACAGTGGTGCTAGAGGAGGATGTGGAGGAGGGGGAGGTGGTGGCTGGGGCAGACGGGGCCTGCACCAGCTTAGCTGACGAGGAGTCCACCCTCAGATGCATCTTCTCCACCTTGACAGCCGGGGTGAGGCTGGAAGAGAAGGTTACAGAGATGAAGAGGGCAGCAAGGAGGAAGCCGAGCGTTAGAAACACGGAGCCGGTGAGAAACGCATGGTAGGAGACAGATGTGCACGTATGGAGGGGGCTGGGAGGACAAAACATAATTCTAACATGATCAAACATTTATCACCATACCAACAGAGAAAAAGTCAGATAATGACACCTGTTTTGTAAAAGCTCCTGAAAAATAATCCTGATTGAATAAGAGGGTTTGATAATAAGGACAGCACACAGTACTTCTTCTTTAAAATTGCAGTGTGTTAAAATCAAGAGCCTAGTTCAAATACATGTTGACTTATCAAGAACAAGCCAAAGTTGAGGACATTTAAATAGAATAATTCAGAAAAAAACTGTGCTATAAATGTTTAAACACAAGTTTGTATATATTTATTCAACACTTGGACGTTGTGACGTTTGAGGGCTCAGATTGTGGCCAAAAGGATAATAACTAAGGTTGTTTATGTACAGAAAACAGTCAAAGGTCACAGCCTACTTCCTATTTCTAATTAAAAAAAGTTGTACTGCTTGGTGGTTCTTAGTCCCCACCTATTTTTGTCCAAGTGTAAATGTACTGCCACCAGAGAGCATATTAACAAGGCAGCACCCGAGATTTCCTTTGTGTCGTTTGGCCAACAAACTAAATTAACTTTTTATAGCCGAGTAAATTCACAAGCAGCAGTTCATATGAGAGTCAGTTAAATTAACAATCCCTGGCTTAATCTTTCGAATTGCTATTACTATATGAAAACAATTCATAGTTCAGCCCCAGTGAAAATGGGTACATTGCAAAACCCTATAAACAAACTTCACTGCAAAGGTTACAGAGTAAAACTTACATCTTGTCCAGCTGGGGCGTCCTGAAGGGTGCAAAGGGGGTTCTTCGCTGAATGCCTGGCTGCTTCTCTTTGGCTGGTTTGAGGAGTTTGGGATTGGAGGAGGCGGAGGACGCTGGGGAGGATAAGCTGGATCCAGCTGTGTTAGGTCGGCTAAGGATGCCTCCAGTCGCCACTCCAGCTGCAGAGCCCGAGCCCAGCAGGGGCCCGAGCCCACTGCTCCGGTTCCTGCCCGACACGGGGAAGGGCGAGGTGGAGGCTGGCTTCATGGCCGAACTGTGTCTTCTCTCTGGAGGGGCATCATTCAAAACATAATAATTAACTCATTTAGATTATCCGAAGAAAGAATAACAACATGCACATAAATACATGTTTGTGTGCATGTAAATGGTCAAAGGCTAAGATCCCAAAGTTCCCTCCAGAGGGAGTTTCTCTCCCACATTCCTGAAATGCCTCCATTGGGCTTCTTTGTTTACTTCCGCAACACAGGGACATCATGATGTAACACTCACGTTTCTATTCCAACACATTGTATGTAATAGGCTAAGGGGACATCTCTAAGCGATTGAGAAATCACAACAGAGCCGGCCAGCTAACCAATCAGAGCAGACTGGGCTCTGGTTTCAGACAGAGGGTGAAAAGAGGTGCTGCAGCACAGGCAGTATGAGAAAAATAAAGAGCTTTTAGAACATTGAAGCATGGAGACATGTCACAGTAGAGGCATAATAGGGCCCCTTTAACCCTACACCATAACAGATTAATGTATATGAATAAATGTATCAATGCCATAAATCAGTAGAAACCACACACAATACACATGGGAATATAAAAAAATCTTCCTCTGATAGAAGTGAAAGAAGGTAACCTCGCCAAATAATAAGCAGCATTTGTGATTCATGCGAACTCAATGCCTGAAATAGAAGCACCCAACAGGTCAAGAACTTCATTTCCTGTCTGAGCTTCTAAGAACAGCTACTGTGAAGACTGATAAAAGGCAGTGTGACAGCAGAAAAGGTTTGGGTGATACAGATAGGTAGATGGAAAGACACAAATAGAAGAAATGCTCATCTCCAAGTGATTAAATATTCCTTCTCGGAAAGAAAAGTTTCACAAACATCATCAAACAGCGGTCTCATGCGCTCACAATAAGGGTTTGGGTTTTCAAAGGAGGCTCTTGCTATTTATAGTAACAGCATAAAACTATGAAATGGCACACTCATAATAATTCCATTGACATCACCACTACAGTCCCACCGCAGAGACTCATTTAGCCACAACAGACACAGTCCAGAGCTCCTTCGCTGCCACATCTGACACTCCCTGAGAGGAAGGCAGGACAGCAACCTCAGGAAGGCATTTTATAATACAGGCGTAACTAACATTTGCACCAAAGTCTTGAATTTTCTACCTGACAGATATACTGGGCCCCCGGGGCCTTCAAGGGGTCTTACAGACAGACACTGCTGCTGCTGCTCCAAGTGAGAGCACATATACAGAGAGAGAGGTGTCCACTGAGGAGAGACAGGCGCCTGGAGGTTATCTCGACCCTCTTCTTGTCAACATGAGCAAATTAAACAAATTAAAAACTACCAGCAAACATGAAGAACATTAGAGCTGGCGTTTTTTTTTAACCAGTATATCGATGATATTGTAGAGTTGACCATCAGTTCCTTCACAAAATATTTACGCAATGAGATTTTTGATAGCTAAATATCAACCTGTGGGTAAACTGCTAGAACAGTCTGGTAAATATAGAAAATGACATCCTTTTAATGTAATGCAGTCTTCAAAACCGTAAAAAGATAACGCTTTTTAAAAAGACAACATTAAGTGATACATTGTCCGGTCTTACAGGGTATTTGAGAGGATATAGCGCCAGGAGAGTAAATATGTTTTCTTTAAAATGCGTCTGTGTCGGCAGCTAGCTAACATGGTGAGGTGTGGGCCGGATAAATTAAGCTTTCACTCAGCTAACTCCAATGTGTTGCAGGGAACTGGCCATAAGCCAAAACTCAGTCTCAGCAGGTGATCTGTGAATAAGCATGCTGCTGCAGAAACATTGAGAGGATGCTTACACATACGCACCCACAAAAGCTGCTACTCCCTATTTCCATTACTCCCCAACACACACACACACCCTCAAACTGCATAGCGTTCTTCAAATTCCCTTTTTCAGAAGGACAAACAAGTTTAAGTGTGCCCTCTTCTCGTCTAAGGGCCTTTCTTTACACACCCATTCAAGACACACTCCAGATTTCTTGCCTCCCTCTACTTAGCAGCCTTTCTTTACACTCCCCCCCTTCCCCTGCTGTCTTGTCTTGTCCTGGTCACAGTCAACAGCACACCCTCCAAACAAACTCACACCAGGAAACCCCAACATGACAGTGAGCGCTCAGTCCACAAAGCACTAACACTGAATAAAGAGACCCAACACCAGTAGCAGGAAAAAAAGGAGTTAAGAAAAATGTGGGGGTAAAAAACAAAAACAGCGTCAATATCCTCTTTCACGCTGCCAAACAGTCTGCTCCGTGCTAAGGGGAATCCCTGGCTGTGGGCGGGAGCCAAACACCTTGACGTACAATGGCCTTACTACCATCTCCACAAGCACCACGTTTCAGCAGTTTCTTAAAACGGCCTTTGTGAAATATTTGTATAATAATAATAATACCCACTTCTCTTAGAGACAGATAAAACGATGGTTATTTTCCTTGCCATCGAAGCGCAAGGTTTGTTTGTGTGCGTTTGCCCAGCCAATGCAATGTGTGTGAGCAGAGCAGCAAGAAGTCTTTGTTCGAAGGGTTCATAAGTGAAGGCATAAAACGGCAGCCTGGCTCACAGCTCCGCGTTCGGCGGTGAGTGCCCCCCCCCCCCCCCCCCTGCTGGGACCAGCCTCAGTCGAGAGGCGCAAACACCTAACGGGAGGCAGATGGGCTCAAAGAAGCACGCAGAAATCATATTGAGCCCATCTCAATGGTGCTGAGATCAGTGCCTTTGCTCCGTGTTAACGCCACACGGGTTCTTCCTATAATGACATCAGGAGGAGGAAGACGGGAGGAAAATCACAGTGAGAGCACTCCTCTGTATAAAAAGCAGCACAGTATTTTACTTGGATTAAGCCTGCTTCTGTGTGAAGTAAAATGATTAGTCAATTGATAGAAAATAAGTAACTAACTACTTAAATAATCTATTAATCGTTTCAGTCAAACTAAAAGAGTAGCAACTCCACAAAATTAAGAGGTTGGGAGAGTTTTTTATGCTGTAAATAAAGAGACCTGAAGGCCTTGGACTGTTGGTCAGACAAACAGGACATCTACAAACCTCATATTAGTCTCTGGGATATCAGCATTTTAATTATTTCTTTAACTAATTGAAAAAGTAATTTTTTATGTATTATTTCCACTGCTTACAACAAATGCTAATGAAAATCAAAGGTGACACCATTCGTTGCCTACCATGGAAAAGTCCCTTTATGCAACATTAAGGAAAACTAAAAAACAGATGTTATAGTAAAGGTTTGAAGAGTGGGTTGAGGTGTCTCACAGCTTGAAGATAAAAGAATGCATGTAGCAATTTGTATGATTTAATTTACACAATAATGTAGTAGCATAAGGGCGACTAACAATTGAAGATGCATCAATCCATTTCAGATGTCTGTCTGTCTTCATTGGCAGTGTTATGGACTCCAATGTGTGTCTCCTCCTCGTTGCATGCAGGTATGGTAACTCAACTTTAGTAATCATGAGTAGTAGCATTGTAGTATTGGTTAGCAGAGTAGGAGGAGCCCTCTCTTTGAATATTGTTGACCCAGTAGCGAGGACAGTCCCTCTGGGCGCCATGTGTCGTTATACCTCCCTCTTGTGGCTGACTTTGATCCCTGTAATTACTGTCAAACTTAAATGGAGAACGCACACAACTGAGAGGAACAATAAATCAGGGAAAAAAGAGCTACGTTATAAAAATAAATGTTGCTATGTGTGGTCAGATGCTGGGTGTGTGGGTAGTGATGGGACAAAAAAGTAGTGATAATAAGCGCTGAAGCCATCAGATCTCTCACATGAACATTGTGCAACGTGATTGCAAAGGCTAATTGACATTTTAAACAACAGTGACACAGGACATGGTAGGTGACTCTAGGTGGCATAGGGACGGGTTTATAAAAATGTAATGGTACTACTACTCTTTATACTGCTTATCGATCCGGTATTTTTTACGGTATTTATTTTGTAAGCCTTCCTTACCTATTTAAGAAAATGCTTGGGAGATTATTTCCTGAATGACAATTGTAAAATTGCCGTGAAAGCTGTAAAGTTTAAAGAGATCTAGAGTGATGCAGCTACTCTATTCACAGATCTATAATTCATCAATTTACTTTACCACTTTGGTCAAAAATACAGCTTAACTTTTAAGCAGTGGAAATCTTCACACTGAAATGCACAAACACACGTCTATAAAGCAGTAACAGCACCAGAAATCTGATATGAGCTGTGCGTGTGAAAAAAAAAGTACATACAGCGAAGACCGAGAGAGGGCCACATCAAATATTAACAGCGGAATTGTAAACACACACAAGTGAGACAGTGAGTTAAATAAATAAATAAATCAAAGTCTGTGGCCTCCCATCTTGGGTTACTGTGTGGAGAAGGAATGGTGGAGGGGGAATACAAAGGCAGAGGGAGAAGTGATACCACAGAGCGTGTCAATGTGTGAAATATCACCACCAGCCTTGAAGTGGTACTCTGGTCCTACAAGTGAAGACTACTTTGTTACTTCCTTCTTCACTGATCTCGCCTCTACCGTTCATGTTCACTCGCCCCTCATGAAGGGGTTCTATAATCTATTTAGATCAGAAACTCTTAAAAGCTCACTCCGCATGGCGTTCACATGAAAGATGACTGAGAATTTTTGAGGGGTTTTCTAGAATAGAGAATTACAAGGTGGACGTCAAATGTAGTCTCGCTCAAACTCTGAACTAAAATCTTAATGGAAAACGTCACTAACCGAGTGATAAAATATCATTATCAGTGTTTGCAATAACATCTTAAAAATTAACCATACTTTCCACGATCAATCACATGGAACATGTTTTAATAAAGTTTTATATCTGCAGCGGGCATTATTTAACGAAGCCTCCATGTATACCTCAATGTGCTGTACTGTGACTACCAAGTCATTCAAGTTGTTAATTATTAAAATACCTTTAGTACTTAAGTTTGTTTCTAAATGCTTCTAATACAGGAGGAGATTAACCTTTTTGTAATTATTATTTTTCCAGAAGAAATTAATTGTTTTGCAAGACATTATTGGGGTCATATTCTCAGTCTCAACATAGCTGACCATGTCATGTGATATGCTACTGTACAAAAGGACCACATATTACTTGGACAACAACATGGCATTGCAGATGAACATTACAAATCCAGGGGTTCATATAATAGACACCATCACTGACTAAGCCTTGTAACAAATAGACCACACATTTAAAATACACGGTCTAGGATGCACAGTTGTACACATGATCAGGATGGTAACACCTTTGCCTCTTTTTGAGCCAGAAAAAAACATTGTATGCCTATTCATGAATGTGTGTGTGCATTAAAACTTACCGTAGTGTGCTTGGAAGGCTTGGGGCTTCACTACCTGGCTGCAGTGGCTGCACATCACCAGGTAGAAGTCGTCCTGTGCGGGACACTGGCCAAATATGTGCATGTCTGTACAAACAGGGAGAGAATCAACCAGACAGGGCACAAGTCAAGGAGAGGAAAATAAAATAGACATTCACCTGGTGCTCCAGTTGGCAGCAGACTGACTCAACATTCAAACATCCATAATATGTTGTAATAATCCATGATATGTTGTCATAACACTTTAATAGCTCAAGATAAGGGGAGTCGAGTTTGATGGTATATTGGTTGCTAAACATCGAGAATGAAAATTGGTTACATCATTATGTTGCAAAACACACACATGGAAACACGTAACCATATTAGGAATATTAAAAATGAAAGAGCAGCTCACTCGTGGTAAGGCAAAGTCAGCACATGCAAATACAGATCGCTCCCAAGTGTGAGTCCCCATTCATCATAGAGAGAGTCCTGATGATAAGGAGCTGGGAACGGGCCGAGCGAGCAATCCCAAGGTTACTCGCTGTCAAATAACTAACGTCCCTCCAAGATGTAAACAAACACAGCACATCCAGGATGTACTGTGTGAAGCATAGAGTGGATGACTTGGATTTAGGATTTATTTTTATGTTTCTTGTATTGTTCTTCCACTGGGTAACTTCTTCTTTCCCTTTCATCTTCCCAATGTTGCCAGTCTTCATTTAAAAAAAAGAATCCAGCACATTAAAACTCTATGAAGAATAAATAATAATATATGTAGTAATACACTATTTTTGTCGTATTTAAGATTCACATCTACGTGTATGTCTTAAAAACATTTAAACACAGCCGGCAGTGGCTCAGTCAGTAGGGGCTTGGACTGGGAGCCGTAGGGTCGCTGGTTCAAGTCCCCGACCAGACCTAAATATGGAGTGTGGACTTCTACTTGGAGAGGTCCCAGTTCACCTCCTGCCCTGCCGTGGTGCCCTTGAGCAAGGCACCGGACACCCCCCTTCCCATTGCTCCCCGGGCGCTGTACAATAGCTGCCCACTGCTCCTAGTACTAGACTCCTTGTACTAGGATGGGTTAAAAGCAGAGGCCAAATTTCACTGTGTGTGTGCTGTGTGCTCTGCATGTGTGACCATTAAAGAGGGTTTCATCCCTCCCTATTCTATTCTATTCTATGTGAATACTGTAATATTATAAAATAAAACCTCACAAAAAAGAGCGGCAACACAAAAATCTGAAATGTTGATAATAGCTAAATTGTTGAAATAGTGCCATTTTATGTGACCGTCACTTTGGGCTTTAGGAAGTTGTTATAGACAAATCTTACTTTATAGACCAACAAACATACAAAAAAAAAAAAACAATAATTAAGAGAACAGATCATTGATAATGAATATAATAATTTGGTGCAGACTTGCAATTAAAACAGGGAGATAATGGTTTTCTTTGAAGTCTGTCAACTTGTAAAAATTGCATCCAGCAATCCAGTAATAAGGTCATGTTTTCATGACTCATATAAAGAGTCCTCCCCTTAAACCAGCTTATGATTAACACACGAAGACCTTATGGAGTAGAAATCTAAATGCAGATACCAACAGTCAAATCTAGATTAAAAAATAAATAAAGCCAAAACCGGAAGAAATGCCTGATTATAGGGAGGGTGTAATGGATGTCCCATAGGGCCAGTGAGAAAGTGCAACTTTCAGGCACACAATCATAAAGAAAGTTCTATAGGAATCGGCATGTCTCCATCTCCAGCCACCCAACTGAATGAGAGAAAACCAAGACTCTTCACGAGCCACTCTAAAGGCAAATCAGAGGGAAGTGCCGCTCCTCACCAGAATGTGATCAAAATGTACCCTGGCGCAGAGTACCAGAAACCACCTAATTAAGGAGTCTAATTAAGAGATTGCCTGGGGTGTTATGATGAGATGCGCAGAAGACGGGATACAAGAGGAGAGGAGTGGAGTCCCTCTTCAATATGTACTCTGCAAGGCCGTCAAGGGTTCTCCAAGACCACAAGACCGTAAGGGATGAGGGCCATTAGGCAAAGGCCATTAAACAGGGCCTACCTGGAGGAGTTCCCTCTCAGGGAGGTCAGTGGCAGTCTTGTGTGGATGAATTGACAAGCCCGATGCTCTTTAAAGCATGTCAATTGTCTAAAGCCACTCTGCTAAGTGTCTCCTTCAACAGCAGTGGAGCGAAAAGACACATTTTCACAGCGGCTGGGGTCTGCCAAGAAGAAAAGGCAAATGTCTTCACTTAATAGTCAAAGGCGTGTCAATTATATGGAACCTGAGTAGGGAAGCATGCTACTGATGGGCATAAACAAGGGTCTAACAACCATACAAAGAAAAGAAGTTCTTCTATCTTTCCTTATAAGACTGTTTCCATCAATCTCTCTGCGAGCCATTCTGCTGCACCCCTAGCTAATTTAAGTTATAAAGAGGTATTACACATATAAAATCAATAACTTCCCATGTATTCTCCATATAAACTTTCACCTTCTCTCAAATGTTTATTGAAACAGGCCAAGAACTGCAGGGTCCAACAGGCCGACCACATTCTCTTGCAGGATCAATAGCAAGGTCAAACGAAACTCATTCCCAAACTGCTGCGAGAGTTCTCCAAAACGGGCTGCTCGACTATAAAAAAGCGGCCCGTCTAGATCGCCTCTCCACTCTGCATTCAACGCACTGGCACAGGCTGAACTGTACCGCTGAAATGGCCTGACTTGAAAAGTGGTCCAACTACGCCACTGCGTCTGACCCATTCTCAATCTCCATTTTCTCTTCTTTTGCGAGGAGAGGATGAAAAGGATAGAGAGAAAGAAAGTCACCGTGGAAAGAGAAAGAAGAGACAGAACAACCAAATGGAGCCGAGAAAAAGCACAGTAGAGAAAGAGCACAGTAGAGAAAAAGCACAGTAGAGAAAGAGCACAGTAGAGAGAGAGCAGAGAAGCAGGCCGAGGCGTCAGCGAGACAAAGAGAGTGAGCAGAGGACCTGCACTCTAGGAGGAGAAAGAGAGCCTGTGAGCACGAGACAGAGGAAGAGAGTGAGCCTCCAGTTAATCTCAGCATCCTCATCCATGGCAGTGATGAATGATCTAGGTGGAACAGTATCAGCTCTGGCTGCTTCCGAGCAGCACACACGCTGGCTGAATCTGACCTGTAGCTGACACTGGCACTACATTTCCCAGCTTCCCTCACTGTGACGGCACCACTCTCAAATTCAGAGGATGAGTGAATGCATCCGTCATTATTTGCCATGCATTTTTGAAATGTGTTAATCATCTGTGTGTGCTAGGATGGTGGTCACACCACAGGAGGAATCTGGTGGTGAGTCATGGCAGGAGGTGTAATCATCCACTTGTAATACCGCTACCAAGCACACACACAGACTCACAGAATAATTCTATGAACACACATTTCAGCCGCAAGATGTGTTGACCAGCCCCATGACACTAACAGACGCTTCAACATAACAGAGACATGATATCAGACAATGATTTGAAATGTCCCGTTAGGTCTAAAGCCTTAAGATAATCAGTTTAAAATTAAACTGAAAAAAACAGGAAGGAGCACCATGTTGGAATTGAACACATTTCTTTTCAGCGATTAATCATTTATCAAAAAGGAGTTGGTTATACATTTTTCAAGCCATTTAGATCGATTAGTTAACTAATTGTTGATCTTATCTGATTCAATTCTTGACAGCGTTTCTTTTGAACAAAGCAGACAGCTTTCTTTAGGTGACCCACCACTTCTTCTCATGCAGTGCCTTGTATCTCACCCAATGTTTTTTAAATGTTGTGTTAAAGATTTATTCTCCCTTAGGAACCTTTAGGACAAGTTATTGACACTGCGCAATGGTCTTACTTAGTGTATGCACATAGACCGCATTGTTGACTCGTGCAAATGCAACATTAGATAAATGAAGGAGTCTGCAATTAACCCTTTCCTTTAGAGCACCGTGTGGAAAGGAGAAGAGAAAAAAAAACTAAATCTGGACACACTGATGATGTGTAAGTGTTCCTGTGATCAAAGGGAAATGTGTCATTTTTCGTGATGGTCAATACTCATTGAGATTTAACGTCAGACAGAGATCCTGTTTGTGCAAATGCCTTCAAAGAAAGGCATGACAAATAAACAAGAAACCTTACACAATGCTGGACAAATCTGTGTCCAAAAGTGACCAAAAGCTGACAAATGTTGTGTCAATTATTCAAACCTAAATGATCGGTTGTCGAATGAATGACGGTGTTGAAGCGTCTGAAGATGATACTCATGGTTTTGCTAAATAAGTGCCATATTTCTCTGCCAAATTATTATTACTATTATTATTATAATACACAAACAGATGTATATGTACTGTGCGTTTAGTTCGGAAATACAGCTTTTTGAAAAGTGCTATGTTATTCTTGAGGTTCTAGTAGCTGCAATGACTGCCCCATAAAAGCAAAGTCACACTTGAACATGTGTCCTTGAGACAATAGGTTTTTCTGAAAATGTGATTAAAAGTAGCTCTGAACATAGAGGACAGTGCAAGTCATTAAAAAGCTATGTTTCAAAACACAAACGCTGTTGTTACGCTGTTTGTTTTTCATTCATTTATTAAATTCTAAGTTGGAGGAACAGGTTTTTTAACTCATCCGTCAACTTGCTCATTCTGATGTCAATCTTAAAAGCTTGCTGAGGCTGTAAAATTGTGCATGAAGACTGATATATAATTAAACAAGATGCCAGTTTCTTGTTATAACAATTTACCTTTGTAGTGATGTTCATTCTAAACCCAGGCCACAGATCTGCTAACATTAAACAAGGCGTTTCCAAAAATAAAACTGCCGTTCTAACTGATCTGAAACATCACCTTGGCTCAGGATCCAGATTAGTGTATCTGACAATGTGTGTTTCATCACCTATGTCAAATGATTTCTCTTTATTCTGCCATGTCTGAACGTTTCCTGTTATCAATAAAACAAACCATACTACAGAAATCTAAAATAGTTTGAATCCTAAAATAACATGAGCTTATTTTAATAGTTTACTAGTTTACAATTATCCAATTACTTTTTTTTCTGATCAGATTAGGGAGAAAGTGCATAGTAAACATTTTAGAAGTTAATGTACGTTTGGTCATATTTGGGTGTCAAATAGAAGCAAGCCATAAAGCACATTTATACAATTTAAATAGGAGAGTTACATTTTTATTTGGCATTTTTGTTTGAAATAAAAAATTCTAAGGAACTTTAGAAATATACTATACTTTTTAATAATTTACTACCTAAATATGTGTATGGCAGCAAAGAGTTATGGTGGATGTTTTCATGTTTAAAAAAGGCAGACATGTGGGAGATAAACAATAAAGTTAATTCAATGCATTCTCCAACAGAATATGACATTGTTATTAAATGTTTTGGCCTCAAACTATCAACAGTGAGTTTAAGTTGTTAACCGTTAAGTTATTTTATGGACACATGTACATGTCAACTGTCACACGAATAAGACGCATGTTTCCCCCTTTGTATCCGGCTGTGCAGAAAGATCGTTATTTACAGTTGGTTCACATATTGGCTTAGCGACGCGTGTAAAGTGCTTGAATCCATGTGTATGTGTGTAAACCTCCAGAACCAAAATACACCTTTGGCCCTAGAGAGAGAAAAAACACTCACCTTCTCTGCACAACGCATGGCTTCTCGATTTTTCCCGAAGTCTTTGAAACTTTCCTCCAGATTCAGCACCTGAAAAACGAGGCGATCCGACACACAGACAAATAAATAGTTGCACTTGCTTGCCTGCTCGTGCTGTTTGCTACCAGTAGCGTTTCTTCATATTCCACAAAAAACTGCATGCACTCGGCCAAAAAAGGGACAGGACATGGCAACTGTCTGCGCGCTACCCAATACCCAATTCGCGTTCCTCCTCGCAACACATTCGGGGCCGCTAGGAAACTCACCGTCGTAGCCGTGGAGTTTGGCGGCGTCGACCCAGTTGCTCCAAGGCTGTCCCAGCTATTATTTCTGGACTAGGCAAGGATCTCCGCTCCGCAACAGTCGCCATTGCTGTGGAGCCCTTCTCCCCCGCTGGATCTGGCTGCTGCTTCAGCTGCTGCCTGGCGCTCGGCGCTGCTCCCCCCTGACGGTCATCCTCGGCCCTTTCCGACATTCTTTCCGCTACAATGTAACAACACGAGAGTCAGCGATGGTCGCGATCGGGATAGGAGGACTTTTTCACTGATTGACACGGGGCAAAAACAGCGTGTTTTGTATGTCCCCGCCCCTCACAAAACACAAAAAGCTCTATTGTTGATCATTTAACAGGGCTACAGAGCTCTCATACAACACATGACATATGCTGGCAGTTTACTGAGGTTGTAGGGTTTCCTGGATAGTTTTGGCATAATTTAATGTACATGCAAATTGCCTCGTGGTTAATGTTGCTAATTAAATATACATTAATCCTAATTACACAGATAAACATTAAATATACATTAATCCTAGTTACATAGAGATATAGATATATATATATATATATATATATATATATATATAGATATAAAAAGACGATATTCCATTTAGGTTTTTAAGGTGTGCCCTAAAATAGCCGCTGTACCATTACAACTTGAATAAAACAGTGTGTTACTGTATGTCATCTTTTGTTGCATCATAGATGCTTATATATTTTTTTGAATATTTACAGCAGAGGTGCAAAAATATAGCGTCTCAGTTTGGACATCTTATCAGTAACTGTATATACTTCCTAAATAAATAAAAAACCGACGTGTGTTGTTGGTCAAACATTTTTTGACTTGATTTCCCTCAATATATATGTGATGGTTTGACACTACTAGATTTACAGTCTGCCCCATGTTTGTGCAAATTCTGAATCATATTTTTTTTTTTTTAAAGAAAAAAAGTAAGCATTTGAAATATAAAATATATTAGCCATGAGAATGCATGACCAAAACTCAAACGTCACATGTTTGGAGACATTATCTTACAGACTGGTGGACAAATGTGAATAAGAACACCTAGGAGCAAAATAATTACAAATCTGATTTTGTCTTCCTGGCCTCTCAAATTATATAGCTGTCAAAATGTAATTCAAATAATAACTGTGAGACACTAATCTAAAGATGTATAACAGACCTGACAGATTCCCTGTGGCTCTTAAACTTAGACAGAGTTAACCACAGCAGAGTTTTCTTACTTCACTTTCAAAATGAAGGGGAAAAAAACTTAAATGCATGCAATGGGAAATGTAGGCTTGTATCTTGTCTTGACATCGACAATATGTTTGCATGAGAAGCTATGATAAATAATACTATCCCTAACTTATTAGTACTTTCTTTTACAATCTTAAATCATCAGGAATCAGACATCTGTCAGTCCAACATAAAACAAGGCCCAGTTAAAAAGGCCTCCCAGTTTTTTCTGATATCAAAAGGCCGGAGCGCCTTTTTATGAAAAAAACAAACTTGCTAAAAAATGGAAGAAAGGTTAAATTAATACCCGTTCGGTAAATTGGCACGTACCCTGAAGAGCCTTGAGCAAAATGAAACTTGCCCCTTTGTTGCTAATTTCAAGTGCACAATTCAGAAACTTGGCTTTGGCGTCCAATACTTATATAGAATACAAATTAAGAACTTGTCATTGCCAGTGTCCTAACAAAATTCCTTCACCCCTTGATTTAATGCAATATATAGAAAATCTGTGGTATACTGTACAAGCTCTGTATGCATTTCAATCATTTGACAAACTGGCCTGGCCACGAGTGGATTTCTTACAATGATACAAAACTTTAAAAGCATTTGTCAAGAGGAATATCAAAACAAATATGTTCTGCTTCAATGTGTAACTTACCCATTTATCCAGTGCCACAAAAGGCTAACTGTTCTGTTATCTTGCATACCTGTACATTAGTAGCATAGACTAGCACACCATGTAGGGTTATGACCTAGTTATGTTGTTATTATTTGACCGTCTTCATGAGTGGATACTAACTAATCTAACGGTTTTAATTCAACAGCCTCTTTCTAGTCATGCGCTCATCACAAAGGCATCTTTGTGAGGTTTTCTGTTAATATGCAATTAACGACTAAATGAAAAATCCTAGAACAATATAAAGCAGTCCAATACAAAAGCCTTAACAATCGTGCCATTGTGTAAGCGCTTGATGTTTGCAGAGATGGTATTGTTGAATTGGATTCCCTATCATTGAAAGACACCTATCATGCTATATTTAAATGATATATTGTAGGGCCCATACCTATATAAGGTATATTTATACGTTTCGTTTTCAAAATACCAAACAGATCATGCCTTTTATCCATGCCTCATTTCGCTCTATGTGCTGTTTGGCTGTCTACGGGGCTGATCTCTGTGAGCTGCAGCTGACCACGCCCCCCTGCAGGAGAGGGGAGCCGTGCTCTGATCAAGTCAAGAGGGGGAGAAAAATAGATCTCCGTCCTCCGTGTTTTATTATATAGAATCGTTATTCATTTGTTTTAAAGCTCAATAAATAACAAAGAAGACCTTTGAAACCGGCACTTTTCTAATTTTGTCCGAAGATTTAAAACTTTAACGGACATCTTGACCGGCGAAAGAAAACGAAAATGAAAATATGCCGCACGGTCCCCTCGTTCCTTGGAAGAGGTGGAGAGGTGGGTGTTTTGTCATCTGCTGGTGGACTAACCGGAGAGAATTACAGTGCTTGCCTCAACGGGGAGGGATTGCATTGAATTAAAGAGCAGCGGGAGCAAATGGCTTGCCTCGGGGGGGAGGGAGAAAAAAAGCCACAGCGGAGAATAAAAACAGAAGGGTAACCATGGTAACTTGGGCGGGAAGTCTTCTTCGCTGCTTTTGTGGCAGACTACAGCGCCACTTACAGGCCTGGCATATGTACTACAGCGTCTCCAGCACTTTCGAGCGGCAATGGCCGGCCGTGGCCCAACCCCACATTCCCCTGATAGGTGGAGAGTTGGCCCAATAGCCGTAGCGCCACTTTACTGACGTCAGTAAAGTGTTCAAATCTGGATCAGTTTTTATCAGATCCGTTGCAGCCCCTTTTTTTTAGAGATTTGGGTATGGAGGAAAATAGAGAGGGTTGTGTTTTCTGACACTTGGTGAGTCCCTGGACACCGGGGACACATATTCATGTATAAAATACGTACAACAAGTGCATTTTGCATGATAGGTCCCCTTTAAAGAAGGATTCTGTAGTTTGTATACATAGTCAAACTAAACACGTCCAATATAAAACAATCCTTCTTCTGCAATATGCATGCAACCATATACCTCAAACCAGTTACAACCTATAGCCTCAATAGGCAACACACTCTTGCTGTAGTCTTATCAAAAAGTGAACAAAAGACCAAAAACTAAGTATTTCACTAAGCAAATAAATGTTACTCATTTCAGAGACGGTTGTACTTAGTTGTTATTTTCCCATTAGCTATATACTACCTACTATGCTTTAATACACTAATGTGTATCATAATGACTCCATGTGTATAGAGTTGTTTTTAAAATCCCTCCATGATATTCAAAGGCCAGGCAAGAATATTTTGGTTCTGTCTATCATTTGAATCAACCTTAACGTTGGGTTTTCTGAAAACAGTTAAATTGTTCTATACTGAACTCCAATATGTCCGCTAAGTAAGCACAACTACAACTCTGTAATCACTATACAACGACTTGTGATTATTGTACAGCTATAAATATAGTAACGTTCGTATGTTATGGATCTTACCTTGGCAAAATAAGAAAAAAATACCTTATTTTTAAGTTTATCAGCCGATCCTCATCAGTTTTGGTGATTCCTGCAGCACTCACACACACTGGAGAGGACGTCTATGGACACACAGTCACACACACACACACATTGAAAGTAGATGAGTCAGTTATCAGGGACTTTGTTTTGTTGTTTCTAGATAGAGTTCATGTGAATATGGAATCATAAGGAAGGGAACACTTTAATACTTTTTTATGCATGTAACATATGTAACATTAAGCTGTCTGTGGCTCTTTGCCTGCTCTAACAACGTACATTTCCCCTCTGTGGGACTAATAAAGGTATTCTGATTCTGACTTTCCTCCCAGGGCCTTGTTGTTGAATTCTTCACCCACTTTGCCAGTAATCACACCCATTGGCCTAGCAACATCTAACACCCCCTCCCCAGCCCCGCTGTAATCCCTTCAAACACCAGAGATCGTACCCCTATTTTCATGTTTTTGTTTGTCTTTACCTGATGCAAGACATATTGGTAACTGTATTCATAAATGTAACTTCCTTATAAGCAAAAAGCCACTTTAAGGACATACAATAGAAGTGCTGTGTATAGGATATGACGATCACTTACTTGACTTCACATGATTAAATGTGGCATCATACTTCAAAAGGTGGTTCGTCACGTGCGTTCTGCTAATATTTTGCTGTAGCATGTTAAAGCCCAGAAACTTCAAACTCAGTCCGATATCATATGAAGTTTAAGTAATGATGTATTTTGCCTTGGAAACATAACAAATGATCGTTTGATAATATGCTACAGGGATTTGGAATTCATTGTATGAGTAGAGCTACGCAGTACTCGTTCCTTTCTTTCTAAGAACATAGACAGAATATGAGAGGAACTGCAGTGTAATAAACTCTTCTCTTGCTTAAAGCCATTGAACTGGATGCTTCAAGAAGTGCGGTAATGTGGATATAAATCTGTGGCTTAAAACATAAACGGGAGCTCTTAGCATTTTCTTTGATTGGACATTTTTGAATAAAAAAGGCGTAATATTTCCTGTAAGAATTAAAAAAAAATGTCTCCAGTCCATTAACCTTTCACATAAGTGTAATAAGAACCGACGGCAATGAAGCCTTGGAATAAAATGTCAAGTGGTAATCTTATAGCCGTTATTTTGTTTTAGCTGACGCAAATATGTCAACTGCCAAATACTTACAGACGGAACTGCTTGTATGAGAGTTAAGTAATGCACATTGAGAACTTGACACATTTACAGCCATGAGCCTAAATGAGAAATACGGGACAGTGTGCTTCAGAGTGGTTGTTAAATGGTGGCTGTTCTGTGTCCGTACAGATGAAGCAGGTTGTACCCTGCGTATTCTGTCCATAAAAAGGGGTGTACATCATCACATGGCAAGCTTATGCAAAAATAGACATAAAATACAATCAACTGACATTCAAAGCAATAAGTCTGTTCAGAATGTTTGTTGCTTCACATTAAATAAAAAACCTTGAAAAATTGCATGAAAACATGTCATTTTGACAACAGGATTGTGTATAACCATAACAATAATATTATCAAAATATGATTACACTGAGAGGCAAGTTTACATCATATTGAATTGTCACCCAGCCTCACATATTTCTAAATACACTGTCTATTAACTACTACTAGAGATTGAATGATGTAATATAAAACCTGTAACATTGTCCTTCCAACAACCTGCTATATTGCAAAGTAAACAAATCGGGGGTTGGGTTGCACAAAAGACAGTATATCAAAGGCTATGATTGGCAAATTAGATTATGTAATTTAGAATGCTTACTACTTGACATTGACAAGTAGTTAGGTGCACAACTTGATAAGTTGTTAGCTAGCTGACATTAGCTGCAGAGACCAAGAAAGCAGCACCCACCACTACTATAGCACACTAAGCCACATTAACATTGTTTCAAAACAATAGAATCGGCAGAGTAAACGATAATTGTAAGTACATCAGCATATCAAAAGAGACACAAAGTCTACCAGTAGTTATGTCATGAAAACAGGCTCCATGCAGTGTGGGGCTGTGACTGGTACTAACGCTACTACAGAGCACTGTGGCTACATTAGCATGCTAGCTGAAGCTTGTAGCTAGCCGTGACTAGCGCTAGCGAGGAGGCTGACAGCACAGCAGAAGTCATTAGCAGTCGTCACGGATCGAGAACAACTTCACTCTTACCAAGGCTGTGGGTGATGTAGGCGTAAACGGGACACCAGGCAGGTGTATATCAACGGGATGCACTGGGCCAAGGAGATAGAAGACGGTGGGAAAGAGCGAGTGCAGAGCTCAGCCTCTGTGGAGGTCTTCACCTGGTGCTTCCATGTCTGTTTACCAGACTGCATTCTGGGACACGGACGTCACTGCGCCCGCACGTACGTACGCACGCTGGTGACTTAAAGCAGCTTCCCCATCATCATAAAGTTTTTTTGGTCTGCTATCTTCATGGAAAAACTATGGCATACGACTAGGCAGAGGTGGGGAAAGTACTCAGATCGTGTACTTAAGTAAAAGTACAAGTACCAGTGTGTAGGAACACTCTGTTACAAATCAATGTCCCGCAATCAAAACGTTACTCAGTCAAGAGTAAACGTATTGGCTAAGAAAGTAAAAGTAGTCATTATGCAGATTGGCCCATTTCATACATATTTGATTATAATTATTGAATGCTTTAATCATAATTCTGTGTTATTGCATGCATGTTTTTATCTGCTATGCCACTTTTGGCGTCTATGCCACTGTAGCTGATAACCATGGGCGTCACTTTGTTAGAAGTGTTTTTTTTTATTTTCTCCAGATGTAATATTAGCATCGCGAGAAGACATACAGATGTCCCTCCCCTGGGTGTTGAACCTCGAACACCTGCATGAAAAACAATGCATCTGGACCACCAATGTGTTTTTAGAAAAATGGAACGCCCACTAAAGGGTGTTGTTGTGATATGAATTTTGCCAGGGTATTGAGGACAGAACATGACAGGAGTAACAAATAATAAAATGCATAAATACAGAATAAATACAGGAAATAAATACAGGAATAAAAACGGGAATAAAAACGGGAATAAATGCACGAATAAAAAAATACAAGAAGAAATAAATGTGAAAAAAAACTGAAATAAATACATGAAGTAAAAAATACAGCAATAAATAAACACAAGAAAAATAAATGAATACAGGAATACATATATAAATGTGGAAATAAATAACAGGAATAAATTAACACTAAATAAATAAATGTAATAAATAAAAAATTACAAGTTGAGATTAAAACAGAACACACATTATATCTTTAATGTATTTTTACTAAAATTAATATATTTATTAATTTCTGTGTCTGTGCGTGCTTCACATAATGTTGTTCTGCTTGGTAGCTTTCTGTGGATACGACAACATTTATAACAATTGTACTTTCAATTGCTCTGAAAGTTGTGCATGTGTCTTTAAAGTTGCTATAAGATTTTATTTCACTTCTTCGGGACGTCCCCCTTTTATTTGGAAGCTTTGTGTCAAGTTGTGCACAGTGTGAGGAGAAACACATACTCTTCTCTCTTCTGTCTTCAATAAATATTTTACAAGCGTACAGCACCGGGAATTTCCAGCATATTCATGTTCTGTATAAACCTTGAAGCCCCCTGAGACAAAAGTACAATTTGTGATATTGGGCTAATAAAATAAACTTTGATTTACTTTTATTGATGTATTTGGCGCAAGAAGTACACTTCTCTTCAGAGCCCCTGAAGAGCCTGATATAAATGTTTATTAGCGCCAACAATGGTGTTGCTATTAAAGGTTTTGCTACTACCTAAAACTCAATAACAGAAGTGTAAGGGATGGGATTTCTAACAGGTTTGAGATTTTAGATTTTAAAGCTTTTCTCCACTATAGCAGTGAGATAACGCACACATTTAAACAAGCGGCAAACTACACACTGGGATAAATCAACATGATGACTGCATGGCTGGGGTTTGAAACCCACCACCTTCTGACTCAAAGACAACAGCTCTTCCTCTCAGCCACAGGCGAATTATAAGGTGTTGTTCAGAAACAATGACGTCATAGCCTGACTGTCCCAATCGAGATAACCGTTTTGTTGTTTGAATGGAGGGTTTTTTTAAATTGGAAAAAAAACCTGAAGTTTGATAAGTTGAAAAGGTTTAATTCCATCCATTCCATCCATCAAGATTTCTCCCGCTTATCCGTTGGTCGGGTCGCAGAGGGTAGCAGTTCCAGCAGAGAGCACACAACGTTCCTTTCCCTGGCCACATCAACCAGCTATGACTGGGGGATCCCAAGGCGCTCCAGGCCAGCGAAGAGATATAATCCCTCCACCTGGTCCTAGGTCTACCCCTCGTCTCTTCCCAGCTGGACGTGCCTGGAACACCTCCCTAGGGGAGGCGCCCCGTGGCATCCTTACTAGGGTGCCTGAATCACCATCAACTGGCTCCTTTCGACGCGAAGGAGGAGCGGTTCAAACTCCGAGTCCCTCCCGGATGACTGAACCTTCTCACCTTATCGCTAAGGGAGACGCCAGCCACCCTGCGGAGAAAACCCATCTCGGCCCGCTTGTACTCCGCGATCTTCGTTCTTGATCTTTCGTGTCATGACCCATCCTTCATGACCATAGGTGAGGGTAGGAACGAAAATGGCCCGGTAGACAGAGAGCTTTGGTCTTCTGGCTCAGCTCTCTTTTCGTCACAACGGTGCGGTAAAAGCGACTGCAGTAACCGCTCCCCGCTGCTCCGATTCTCCGGCCCATCTCACGCTCCAATTGTTCCCTCACTCGAGAACAGACCCCGAATACTTGAACTCCTTCACTTGGGGTAAGGACTCATTCCCTACTTGGAGTGGACAGTCCATCGGTTTCCTGCTGAGAACCATGGGCCTCAGATTGGAGGTGCTGATCCTCATCCCAGCCGCTATCAACACTCGGTGGCGAACCGATCCAGTGAGTGCTGAAAGGTCGCAGACCGATGAAGCCATTAGAACCCCATCATCTGCAAAAGCAGTGGTGCAATCCTTAGTCCACTGAACTGCAGACCCCCTCCCCCCACGACTAACGCCTCGAAATCCCATCCATGTATATTACAAACAGTGATTGGTGACAAAGCGCAGCCCGCGGAGGCCAACCCCTCACCGGAAAATGGGTTCCGACTTAACTGCCGAGGACCCGGACACAGCTCTCGCTTTGGGAAGTACAGAGATTGGATGGGCCCTGAGTAGAGACCCCCTCACCCCATACTCCTGCAGCACCTCCCACAGTAACTCCCTGGGAACCCGGTCATACGCCTTCTCCAAGTCTACAAAACACATGTAGACCGGATAAGCGTACTCCCAGGCCCCCTCCAGGATCCTTGCGAGAGTAAAGAGCTGATCCGTCGTTCCACGACCAGGACGGAATCCGCATAATTCCATTGTTTCTAAATGACATATTAAAGAAACCTGACTCCAGATGCCCTGATAGCCTTGTGTTTTCTGAACAGATGTACACAATTGGACTGTCACTTCCTGTGATGAGTTCAGACAAAATGTTCTTTAACAATATCTTTGTGTCGCCTTGTAACCCTAATAAACATAGAAGCCAATCCTGTAACATTTGACTAGAATTTGTACTGGTAATAATAATAATAATAATGCATTTGATTTATATAGCACACTTTAAAAAACAACGTCATCTCAAGGTGCTTCACAAGGCTATAAAGGAACAATAAGTAAAAAGTTATCTAAAGATAAAGTGTCTTTGGCTGAAGGGGTAAATGGATGCCTAACAACCAGAGGGTTGGTGTTTTGCTTCCCAGCATGGCAAAGTGAAGTGTGGTGGGAGGCAAGATGGCATGTGTGTGTGTGTGTGTGGTTGTGTGTGTGTGTGTGTGTGTGTGTGTGTGTGTGTGTGTGTGTGTGTGTGGGTGTGTGTGTGTGTGTGTGTAGTGTGTGTGTGTGTGTGTGTGTGTGTGTGTGTGTGTGTTTGTGTGTGTGTGTGTGTGTGCGCGTCAGCGCAAGCGTAGTGTGTGTGTGTGTGTGTGTGTAGTGTGTGTGTGTGTGTGTGTGTGTGTGTGAAATGGTGAAGATCGTGGTCAAGGGCGGTCAACTGGAGGTAGACGCCCCTCCCCCCACACCTCCGGGGATATTTAAAAATAATAATAATAATAATAATAATAATAATAATAATAATAATAATAATAATAATAATAATAATAATAATAATAATAATAATAATAATAATACAAATAATAATAATGTAAAAAAAGAACACAAAATAAATGGAAATAATAATTTAAAAAATAATTTAAAAAAATGAAATATTTTTCAAAAATATTAATAATAACTATAATAATAATAACAATAAAATAAAAACAAAAAACATTAAAAAACGCCTTCCAGGCGAACCCCTTCGGTGAGGAGGGGCTGCCGTGCTGGCGGAGAACGCCCCAACCCTCCGGGTGACGTGAAACAAATAAAATAATAATTATAATAATAATACAATAATAATAAAATAATAATAATAATAATAATAATAATAATAATAATAAAATAATACATAATTAAATCAGAAACACTAACTTGAAAAAAAATATATAAGGATATTTAATATGAAAAATATGTTTTACCAAAAAATAAATGTAATGAAAATAAGAAATTTTTCAAAATCCTTGATGCAAAAGCCTTTATCCAGTGGGTTTTGCAAACTGTGGGGCGCGACCCCTGGTGGGTCGCTGAGGTACTGCAGGGGGGGGCGCGGGAAGAAATTGTAAACAAACACTGCTCGAAAATATCTCATTGGTCAGAGAGCTGTGGGCATACTGCTTGCCTTTTGCAGCATCCTACTTGTGTGAGACAGGCTTTTCTGCTGTTGCTCCCATCAAACGAAATACAGATCAAAGCTGACCATTGAGAATGAACTGAGAGTGGCAGTCTCAAAACAAATAAATTTGAATTACAAAATCTACTACTCAGGGAAGAAGGACTAGTTTTAATCAGGCCAAATTAATTCACAGTATCTATTACAAGCACTTTTGTTCATTGTGTAATAATCCATAATAAAATATAAAATTATAGTTGGATCTTTGTATCTTCTTATTATTAGCAGAGAAAATGTAATGTTTTTACAACAATATACAATTAATCCTACCAATATAGATGGGAACCGGGTTGGGGGGGCCCGAAAATATTTCCAATTACCCAAGGGGGGGCCCGACTGAAAAAGTTTGGGAACAGATGTTATAGGGTAGTAAAACCACCAGGGGAAGTGTTAGGTGATGTGTGAAGTGATTATTCTTTCTTGGACCATGCTTCAGACTGAGGTTAGGACCGCCTCATTCTCATACGGACACAGAAATACATAAATAAATAAATGTAAATG